TTTTTTTGGTTTAAGATAGAGGGGAAGTACTCAAAAAAAAGAAAATGGCATAAGATCGTGAAGGAATTATACATTAAATGCATTTGCATTTTCTATTCTTGTTATAATTCTTCTTTGCAATTATGGCTTTCTCCATGTTGTAAAGCATAATATACTTGTGGCGGTGTATTAACAATGTTGCATTAAAAGTCACTTAAGGAAGACTTTTTCTGATTTCCAAGGTGTTCAGCACCAGTCCTCTTAAGAATCAGTTCGGCTACATTCGACTTCTGTTCGGGTGTGTTTAAAGAAGTGCAGCCCAAGCTCCAAAAATATGAAATTTATTTTTGGGTTAATAACACTTATAATATGAAATTTATTTTTGGGTTAATAGCACTTTTAGTACTTAAAGGATTCTCATTTTATCAATTTGGTCCTCAATATGTCAATTTGGTTGTTAAAGTATTCAATTTGTGTTTAAATAATCCTTACATAAACGGGCCATCAAGTTTTTTGATTACAAATAACCACGTGATCACTTTCCTCAAAAACTTAACGAACCATCTGTTTAGGGACCGTTTAAACAAAAATTGAATAAATTGATACAATTGATATATTGAAGAACAAACTGACAAAACAAATATACTTGCAGGACCAAAAGTGCTATTAACCTTTTATTTTATAATTGTAATGGCCAAAATTTGGAAAATCGAAGTATCAGATACGCTTTTAGGAACCACAATGTGCCATATCTGATGTGTGTTTGAATCAACATGGTTTATGCGTATAAATGTCCCATGTTAATAGCTGAATACACCTCCTTGAATGTGTGTGATCTGCATCAAGTAGTTCTATAATATACTAACTGTATTATAGTGTTTGTGTGTGTGGTATAGTGTATGTGTGTTTGTGTATATTTCATTTTTGGAGAATAAGAAATGTGGCTGCTCGTATGTAGCACATGGGGGTTCTTTGATACAACTTAGATGCTGGTGTGGTCTGAAATCTGTACGATCGAGGCTCATTTGTTAGAATATATTTTTGTTAAACTACAGTATTTCATCTGTTGTGCTTTTTTGGGCCTTTTGCAGCCTTACCAACCTGGTTTTACAGCACCTACTCAATCTCACCCTGAAGAGACTATGATAGATATGGGGTAAGTTTTGTATCTTTGTGCTTTTTGTTCATATAAATGTGCATTTATTAAGAAATGTTTTTGTTTTTGCTAGACTTTGTGTTTGCATGTGTGTATGTATACATATTGATATTACGATATGATGTGCAACAAATGAATCAACTTGGATTATGCTCCCAGCAAAAAGATTTAGATGGTTGATTGAAGATATAGCATGATTACATTCTGTTTTCTTGCTTTAATCCTTTGACATTCTTGCAGGGGAGGATGGCAAATCTTGGGCACACCTTTGCATTTGCATGAACCTCGCCTTTTAGCAATTGCTGAGGCCGACCATCAGTTTTTGGAAGCTGAGTATGATGATTACAATGCTACAAATGCCAGCAAACCAACATTTTGTCGTTCAGCTGCACTGATTGTAAGTCCTCGTGATCATAAACCATGAAAAAGTCAGGTGGGCTTGGTGGGTTATTTTTCATGTTCATTTGCAATTAGCTATTTCCTTCTCATGTTTAGTTTCACTTCCAAAAGGAGTAAGCATAATGGAAATCATGTACTATTGAATTACTGCTCGTGTAACAAAGAGGATAACAGATTTACAGTGTCAGAGAGAGCTGTTAAAGGTCATCTTTTGTTGAATAATATACTGCCTGGTTTCGACTCTTAGGAGCTACATACATGCCTGTAATAAATGGAATGGTGCTACCAGTGTCTGAAGTTCATGAACCTCTTGGTTAAGAGTTTTAAGATTTTTAAATCTCACTGGTTTTGATTGGCAGTTAATGGCTCTTCTATTATTACGGCATTCATTAGTTGTGACAGAAGCTGATGATGAAGACTCGGCTACCATTTTTTCTGTAAGTGGGATATGAACTTTTATATGGACTATTTCATGGTTTATAATTAGCTTGTGGTTTAATTGAGTTTATCATCTGGATTGGATTCTTCACAGCTTTTCTTGCTTCGAGTTGCTGGGTTTCTTTTGCCGTGCTGCATCATGGCCTGGGCTATCAGTATCTTGCAGCGTCGTAGGCAAAGACAGGTTTGTGTCTATGATCATACTCTCAATCCCTTTTCTTTAGAGTTTTTAGTTTCAGCATTCCATTTTAACAAAGTGCCTGTTAAAGATCAGATCAGACCGTTGAATTGTGCTTATTGGTGTACATGACTCATTAACGTTTCTATGATGCGTTTGTATTTTGATAATATAGGAGGAAGCTGCATTGGCAGCAACACAATTTGCATTTGTGCTACAATCAGGCCAAACAAGGGGTGTACAGTTCACAATAGGATCGACAGTGCCCTCAGTGCCTCCACAGCAGGAACATGTTTAATACCTAACACCTGCCCTTACCAAATACCATTTGAAGGGCCTCTCAGCATGTATATTTGTTAAAAATGCCATGACCATAACAGTATTTGTCCCTTTTATCTGTTAAATGTTTGTGTATATATGGATCCTGCATCTCTCAGCATGAGCTGCTGGGAAAAAAAGCTGATTGGCACCAGAAATTCGTTAATTTCTTGTCAAACAAGCAATGCTTTTACCTCGAGATATTAATACAACTTGATCCAGCACGACGTTAGATGTTCAGTTTGGTTGACACGACTATTCTATTTACTAAACCGGCTGTGGTGAAGCTGCTAATATCAACCAGTTTGATGTGTTTATGACTCGTGACATAATGTTTCACAACTGAACACGATATATTTTTTTGCCGATGAAAGTATATATTCGCATATCTCAGTGTCTTTTCTATTTATTCTCAGAAATTATAACTGCTACTTGTTGAAATAATCTCAAAGTAGAACCATATCTCCTTTTAATCTGTACTATGGTGACATTCTCATTGTTGTCCAGCTTTTGTCTCCTTAGTAAACCTTTAGCATATACTTGCTGGCCCATCAAGAACTTATTCTTTCTAATCTTAATCCATTAAGTTGGCCCACCAACAATCATCCCTCTGCCTTTGAGCTTCACACCATGTTTACGTTTCAATCAAGAAACGTTTCAATCACAGTCTCATTGAATTAAATAAGGTTTCGCTTACGACACCCATCTTGATCTACTAAACCTTGAAGTCTTTCCATTTGTGCTACCTAACGGATTAGTTTCAAAAAAGATCGGGGGTCCTCTTTCTTAGTTGTGATACTTTAGACGAAGACAAAATGTTATAATCGTAAGGCATAGTTCAAGTGGTAATAAATATGAGAGTTATAATTTTTCAGGGGTCAGGTCATAAAGAATTTGTCTATTATGAATGTCTTCGTTCCGATATAGATGATCTGTCTTTAACCAAACTAGAGAAGAGTCCGACCGATAAATCAAAAAGAAAAAAATTATGGGCATTGGGNCTCTTAGGAGCTACATACATGCCTGTAATAAATGGAATGGTGCTACCAGTGTCTGAAGTTCATGAACCTCTTGGTTAAGAGTTTTAAGATTTTTAAATCTCACTGGTTTTGATTGGCAGTTAATGGCTCTTCTATTATTACGGCATTCATTAGTTGTGACAGAAGCTGATGATGAAGACTCGGCTACCATTTTTTCTGTAAGTGGGATATGAACTTTTATATGGACTATTTCATGGTTTATAATTAGCTTGTGGTTTAATTGAGTTTATCATCTGGATTGGATTCTTCACAGCTTTTCTTGCTTCGAGTTGCTGGGTTTCTTTTGCCGTGCTGCATCATGGCCTGGGCTATCAGTATCTTGCAGCATCGTAGGCAAAGACAGGTTTGTGTCTATGATCATATTCTCAATCCCTTTTCTTTAGAGTTTTTAGTTTCCGCATTCCATTTTAACAAAGTGATTACATCTGTTAGCATTTAGGTGTGCCTGTTAAAGATCAGATCAGACCGTTGAATTGTGCTTATTGGTGTACATGACTCATTAACGTTTCTATGATGCGTTTGTATTTTGATAATATAGGAGGCAGCTGCATTGGCAGCAACACAATTTGCATTTGTGCTACAATCAGGCCAAACAAGGGGTGTACAGTTCACAATAGGATCGACAGTGCCCTCAGTGCCTCCACAGCAGGAACATGTTTAATACCTAACACCTGCCCTTACCAAATACCATTTGAAGGGCCTCTCAGCATGTATATTTGTTAAAAATGCCATGACCATAACAGTATTTGTCCCTTTTATCTGTTAAATGTTTGTGTATATATGGATCCTGCATCTCTCAGCATGAGCTGCTGGGAAAAAAAGCTGATTGGCACCAGAAATTCGTTAATTTCTTGTCAAACAAGCAATGCTTTTACCTCGAGATATTAATACAACTTGATCCAGCACGACGTTAGATGTTCAGTTTGGTTGACACGACTATTCTATTTACTAAACTGGCTGTGGTGAAGCTGCTAATATCAACCAGTTTGATGTGTTTATGACTCGTGACATAATGTTTCACAACTGAACACGATTTATTTTTTTGCCGATGAAAGTATATATTCGCATATCTCAGTGTCTTTTCTATTTATTCTCAGAAATTGTAACTGCTACTTGTTGAAATAATCTCAAAGTAGAACCATATCTCCTTTTAATCTGTACTATGGTGACATTCTCATTGTTGTGTCCAGCTTTTGTCTCCTTAGTAAACCTTGAGCATATACTTGCTGGCCCATCAAGAACTTATTCTTTCTAATCTTAATCCATTAAGTTGGCCCACCAACAATCATCCCTCTGCCTTTGAGCTTCACACCATGTTTACGTTTCAATCAAGAAACGTTTCAATCACAGTCTTATTGAATTAAATAAGGTTTCGCTTACGACACCCATCTTGATCTACTAAACCTTGAAGTCTTTCTCCATTTGTGCTACCTAACGGATTAGTTTCAAAAAAGATCGGGGGTCCTCTTTCTTAGTTGTGATACTTTAGACGAAGACAAAATGTTATAATCGTAAGGCGTAGTTCAAGTGGTAATAGATATGAGAGTTATAATTTTTTTAGGGGTCAGATCATAAGGAATTTATCTATTATGAATGTCTTCGTGCCGATATAGATGATCTGTTTTTAACCAAACTAGAGAAGAGTCCGATCAATAAATCAAAAAGAAAAAAATTATGGGCATTGGAACCAAGGGCTCAATCCCTATGAAACCCATATGTTTGAATTAAAGTTACAGAAACTCATTCACTTTAAGACCAAACTCCAGAATCCGTAAAGCTAACTATCCCAACTTTTAAATAGTTTTCATAAAATTATGAGTTATTGGTGATCCTCACTTTTTCTTTAGTTGAATGAAAAAAAAAAGTACTCCCTCATGATTCTAATGGCAACAAGCTTTTACAGGGCAATGGCATCTAACAAGTACATTAACCTAAAAAAGTACCTACCAGTACTACATGCAAAGGAAGAGGTGCTAATCTATATAATTAATCGGAATTGACATTAACCAAAGGATAAGACTACAGTACCTACTATACTAAAAATATATGATCTCTGTAGGTTAGATTATTATTTTTTGGGTTGATTGTGATCGAAAATATCCGTTTCTACCTTCAACGGTTTATCAAACTCAGACAATTTTAGTAGTCAGTTAGGCTATATAATCTTTGCTTGCGGCATCTGAAGCCTTTGACTAGACTAGGAAGGAGATTAGTAGAGGTACGTGTAAGCNAAACTCAGACAATTTTAGTAGTCAGTTAGGCTATATAATCTTTGCTTGCGGCATCTGGAGCCTTTGACTGGACTAGGAAGGAGATTAGTAGAGGTACGTGTAAGTTAATCAGATACCCCTAACAGTTGAACTAAAAAAACAGAAATTCAAACTAATGTCACAGTGGATGAAAGCATCAATGACATTATTTATAACTGGTGTTAAAATTAAACTAGAAAGCAACAACTCAATCAATCTTTTCACTTTAAATGGAAGACTAAAAGAAGAGTAGCATCAACATTATATAACAAATCTAAGATGAGGTGTATGTATTACTTGGACCATGACCAGTCTCCCTTCAACTTTAGACGCCATCGAATCCCATCATCATGCAAGTTTGATAAAGCATAACTTACCTTTGCTTTAGAATGTTCCAACTTGCATGTGATTTAATGTATAACAATCATAGTAGTTGATAGAACAAATAGATGCTCAATCTGGATGAACAAAAAACATGCTGATGCAGAGAGAGAGCAAAGNTGGACCATGACCAGTCTCCCTTCAACTTTAGACGCCATCGAATCCCATCATCATGCAAGTTTGATAAAGCATAACTTACCTTTGCTTTAGAATGTTCCAACTTGCATGTGATTTAATGTATAACAATCATACTAGTTATAGAACAAATAGATGCTCAATCTGGATGAACAAAAAACATGATGATGCAGAGAGAGAGCAAAAGTAAAGCATAAAGAAAAACATTTAGCACAAGAAACCATGACTGTTATTTTTGTTGCATAGAGAAGAGAGCTTGGAATTCTAAAGTGAGATCTTCAATGGCATAAAGCAAGTGTTTGGGTTTTTTGGGGGGGTTTGTTCTATTCCCTTATTCTTTCCATACACTATTTTTTGGATCTTCAAATGACTGCTTACACCTTAGCAAACTGGTGTTTTGGCTAGCTCTCTGCCTCTCTGGCCAGTCCCGTTTCTTTCTTTAATAATGAGACAAGTTTACGTTATTGTGCTACCCTCGTGGATTACTTAGTTCTCTTTTCTTAATAACTACGGAATACTAATTTACAAAAGCAAGCCCCCCTCCCCTACCAAATAAAAATCCCCATAATATGAAATGGTCGGGTGATATGACAAGATGGGTAGGATTCCAAAAGGCTTGGGTTGGTCTTTGTTTGGTAGACAAAAGCAGGGCAAATGATAGAGATGCAAGGAAGCAAATGAAAAAAGATGCTTATCTTCTCAAGGGTGTTGTTTCATCTTTTCTTTATTCATCCTAGTCAGATCCTTTGCAACAGCCTTAATTTGCTTAGATTGCAGGCTTATCATTGGGAGTGAATCTAAAACTTGAAAAAAATATAAGGTGTAATGGTGATACCACATCATCATTGACACGNTGGAATTCTAAAGTGAGATCTTCAATGGCATAAAGCAAGTGTTTGGGTTTTTTGGGGAGGGTTTGTTCTATTCCCTTATTCTTTCCATACACTATTTTTTGGATCTTCAAATGACTGCTTACACCTTAGCAAACTGGTGTTTTGGCTAGCTCTCTGCCTCTCTGGCCAGTCCCGTTTCTTTCTTTAATAATGAGACAAGTTTACGTTATTGTGCTACCCTCGTGGATTACTTAGTTCTCTTTTCTTAATAACTACGGAATACTAATTTACAAAAGCAACCCCCCCTCCCCTACCAAATAAAAATCCCCATAATATGAAATGGTCGGGTGATATGACAAGATGGGTAGGATTCCAAAAGGCTTGGGTTGGTCTTTGTTTGGTAGACAAAAGCAGGGCAAATGATAGAGATGCAAGGAAGCAAATGAAAAAAGATGCTTATCTTCTCAAGGGTGTTGTTTCATCTTTTCTTTATTCATCCTAGTCAGATCCTTTGCAACAGCCTTAATTTGCTTAGATTGCAGGCTTATCATTGGGAGTGAATCTAAAACCTGAAAAAAATATAAGGTGTAATGGTGATACCACATCATCATTGACACGTAATGTCATACATCTAATAATAAATCTACAAATGGGCAAGTGGATCCCACATATTCAAGTAACTACCATGCCATGTCATTCCAAGTGGGGTTCACATTATTCATTTATAAGTTTATTATTGAATATAGTGACACCACGTGTCAATAATAATGGGATGTGACCGTTACACACAATATGTACTCCTAAAACCCCTCTAGGGAATTTGGCCCTCACTGCTTTATGCTTTAAGGGGCCCCTCCAAATCATATAAGGGAGAAATCAAAGGCTTATATCTCTAGAGGAATGGATCATAAGAATAGAAAGATTACAATCTCAGTTCAGTTGAGTCTCTTATTCCTCTAAAACTATACTTCTCCTTCTCTTGTTTGCATAGAAACAATGGTTTGCAGTACTCATAGGGTGTTGTTTATCCTTCTTATTTGCATTGGAATATTAGCAATTCAACTACATAAAGTTTCTGGCCAGTCAAGTATTGACTTTGTCCTAAGATGGAGCAAAGAAGATTATGGGCTAGTATCGACGAACCAGCGCATGCTTCAGGCAGTTGTTTCTCAAGACCTGATCAATACAAAGACGAAACAGGCACCTGTCAACAAGACATTTGATCCGAACATATCAAGCAAACGAAGAGTCCGAAGGGGATGGGATCCCATTCACAACAGGTCTTGATATGTTCAAGGTGTTTCTTACAGTACAGAGAGATCAGGCAAAGAAAGTTTGACACATGAATAAACACCTAGAGCAGAAAAGATTGGAAAATGTGTGGACTACACCAACTTCCCAAAGGGTATCTATCTGGCTTGGTAGACTGTTTTTCCTATTCTTGTTTTAAAAGTTTTTACTGCAGAGAGAAGTGTATATTCAAAGTTGTAGAAAATGGTCTCTTAAAACATTCAGCGAGCCAGCATCGTGGCTACGTGTTGTTTTAAGATGAGATGCACAACAATGAAGATGGTTCTAGCTCTCAAAAAACCAAAAATATAGGTCATGTTTGGTTTGCATCTCAGAAACTATTTTTTCGTACAAAATCTAATCTGTTTGCATTTGTTACCCAAATCAAATGTAGTGAAATTCTTTTGTTTCTTGCCCCTTCTATGAGAAGTCTCTTCAAACATAAAGAGCCAGCTACTAAACTTTGATTGTTTTATACTTCAAGTTGAATAGATGAATACTTCAAGATAATTTTTAAGATAAATAGCAAGCAGATACAAAAAAAATGGGGAAAGTACTGCATATTCTCAACAAGGAAGCCTATATCAAGTGTTCTCTGATATGGAATAGAACCCAAATTCTGAACTTCAGGTAACCAGAGAAGAAAGCACTCAGAACCTTAAGTGAATCTATCAATACAACTATATCAGCATACAATTTGCCATTGCAGTTTGAAAATTTTTCAATTTATGTTAGTTTCGATTATTATTGTGACGACCCATATTGGCGTATGTTAAATTCTACATCGGAAGTTTACGTGGGAGTTCTTGGGTATATATGAAGGAACAACGACTTTAAATGACAACTTCTTTCGCTAGTTCGTTTGGAAAGTTTTTGTGGTCATTACAATTATGTTTGATCCAATTATACTACGAGTAACTTTTTTCCATTTCCATTTCTATTTCCATTTGCCAATCAAACATGCAAGTTCTATTAAATGTTAAAACAAATAGGAGAAGATAAGCAAGTCTATTTGGAAAGGGAAATGCTATTTGGAANGTAGAAAATGGTCTCTTAAAACATTCAGCGAGCCAGCATCGTGGCTACGTGTTGTTTTAAGATGAGATGCACAACAATGAAGATGGTTCTAGCTCTCAAAAAACCAAAAATATAGGTCATGTTTGGTTTGCATCTCAGAAACTATTTTTTCGTACAAAATCTAATCTGTTTGCATTTGTTACCCAAATCAAATGTAGTGAAATTCTTTTGTTTCTTGCCCCTTCTATGAGAAGTCTCTTCAAACATAAAGAGCCAGCTACTAAACTTTGATTGTTTTATACTTCAAGTTGAATAGATGAATACTTCAAGATAATTTTTAAGATAAATAGCAAGCAGATACAAAAAAAATGGGGAAAGTACTGCATATTCTCAACAAGGAAGCCTATATCAAGTGTTCTCTGGTATGGAATAGAACCCAAATTCTGAACTTCAGGTAACCAGAGAAGAAAGCACTCAGAACCTTAAGTGAATCTATCAATACAACTATATCAGCATACAATTTGCCATTGCAGTTTGAAAATTTTTCAATTTATGTTAGTTTCGATTATTATTGTGACGACCCATATTGGCGTATGTTAAATTCTACATCGGAAGTTTACGTGGGAGTTCTTGGGTATATATGAAGGAACAACGACTTTAAATGACAACTTCTTTCGCTAGTTCGTTTGGAAAGTTTTTGTGGTCATTACAATTATGTTTGATCCAATTATACTACGAGTAACTTTTTTCCATTTCCATTTCTATTTCCATTTGCCAATCAAACATGCAAGTTCTATTAAATGTTAAAACAAATAGGAGAAGATAAGCAAGTCTATTTGGAAAGGGAAATGCTATTTGGAAATAGGTTCAGCAACGTTACTCTGATATTAGCGGAGCCCGGAGCCCCTTGCAATGCACAGTATTTTTTATTTTTTCCATCACAATCTTACCCTTATTGCTACGGCCACTCCCCCCTCCCCCCCAAATTGTCACCCCTCATCCCACCCCATCTCCAATCCTAATATTATTGAACAATTACCCATTATTTGTGCTAAATTAAGGAAAATATAAAATTTAAATTTAAATTTAAATTAATTTTGTGAGAGCAGTTACACTTGGAATAATAAGTGAGCAATCTCATTGGGATATAATTTGGAAATTTTATGATTGTGGTTATTAGATTGTCAGTGAATCTCAATATTAAATTATCAGTGAATTCTAACACTATCAATCCAATAGTCACGATACATTATATTCCCAAATTATATGTCAATAACATTAGTTATAATAAGTAGTTTATATGTGACTTATGTAACTNATGTTAGTTTCGATTATTATTGTGACGACCCATATTGGCGTATGTTAAATTCTACATCGGAAGTTTACGTGGGAGTTCTTGGGTATATATGAAGGAACAACGACTTTAAATGACAACTTCTTTCGCTAGTTCGTTTGGAAAGTTTTTGTGGTCATTACAATTATGTTTGATCCAATTATACTACGAGTAACTTTTTTCCATTTCCATTTCCATTTCCATTTGCCAATCAAACATGCAAGTTCTATTAAATGTTAAAACAAATAGGAGAAGATAAGCAAGTCTATTTGGAAAGGGAAATGCTATTTGGAAATAGGTTCAGCAACGTTACTCTGATATTAGCGGAGCCCGGAGCCCCTTGCAATGCACAGTATTTTTTATTTTTTCCATCACAATCTTACCCTTATTGCTACGGCCACTCCCCCCTCCCCCCCAAATTGTCACCCCTCATCCCACCCCATCTCCAATCCTAATATTATTGAACAATTACCCATTATTTGTGCTAAATTAAGGAAAATATAAAATTTAAATTTAAATTAATTTTGTGAGAGCAGTTACACTTGAAATAATAAGTGAGCAATCTCATTGGGATATAATTTGGAAACTTANAACAATTACCCATTATTTGTGCTAAATTAAGGAAAATATAAAATTTAAATTTAAATTTAAATTAATTTTGTGAGAGCAGTTACACTTGGAATAATAAGTGAGCAATCTCATTGGGATATAATTTGGAAACTTAATGATTGTGGTTATTAGATTGTCAGTGAATCTCAATATTAAATTATCAGTGAATTCTAACACTATCAATCCAATAGTCACGATACATTATATTCCCAAATTATATGTCAATAACATTAGTTATAATAAGTAGTTATATGTGACTTGTGTAACAACTCTCATAAAACTACTTTAAATTTCAATTTTTCATCTTCCTTAGTTTAGCACAATAATGGATAATTGCCCTAGGGTCGGGGATGGGGTGGGATAAGGGGTTGTAGAATTGTAATTGGAGGAATTGAAAATACCATGCATTGCATGGGGCTCCACTAATATAATATTATACACATATTGATGTTTTTTTGAAGTCATAGATTTTGATAAAATTTTGACAATGTTTTTAAAACAATAATGGATAGAAATTAATTTCAAATTATGTAATCAAAGAAAGAGAAGGGAAGATTTTATTTTTTTTTTTTGCACCTAGGAGTTATATTACTAATTTCAAAATCTATTTTATGCTGCATCATCCCTTCAGGTTGAGATGGCAATTGGGCTGGTTGGACTAGTTATGAGTCGATTTAAAATGGGTTGGGTGCAAAATAAGTTCAACCCATTTAATAAACAAGTCATAATGGATTCCGTTAAGCCTATTAACTTGTAAAATAATTAAAATTATTGTTATAAACACATACTAACCTACACTACTTTAAAAAGTACCTATCTTGGAAAAACTTTTGTTTTCCTCTTTTATCCTTTAACATTTATTAATTATCTAAACTATCATGAGTATATCTATATCTATACTACTCCTAAAAGTGGGTTGACTCAAAAAATATTTGATTTTTATTTTTACCCTTTAAGAACCCTACAATAGCTAACTAGGCTTATGTCTCCCCAAATTCTAAAACAAGTGAAATTGGTCTTCACTCCGCCTTGTCCCTTCCCTTTCCCCTACTCTTGTAACTCATTTAATTTTTAGACTCAACAATTACTTAATTGATTTATGTTTGAGACCCTATAGCTACCATAACTGCCTTAACCTTAAACCCTTTAGACTTTACAGATTCTTAGAGTAATTAACTAAGCTTATATTAACCTTTAAAATTTGATTCCTTTCAAAAATCATTTGTTTTGGCCTCGTTAACTCAAAATCTTCCCCTAATACCTGGACTTGGTTCATGTTTGAGGGGAGATAGAAAGAGAGAGCAGTGAAGATAGCAATTATTTCTATGCTTTGACATTTCATTTCAGNCACGATACATTATATTCCCAAATTATATGTCAATAACATTAGTTATAATAAGTAGTTATATGTGACTTGTGTAACANTACAAGTGCATGACCGATTTCTTCTTCAGAATTTTTATCCATTCAAGTGTTATTTTCTTGTTTGTGAAGAATCAATTTGATTGGCGGAAATGAGTTTTCTACTTGGGCAACAAACTCATAGCAAATAACCTTGAAACTTGGTGAAATTTTGAGGTGAAGGAAGTCCCTTGATTAGACCAAAATTTTCATATGCCTTTTATTTTCGATGTGCAAAATTTCTTCATGTTCAACTTCAAGGAAAAAATTTGCCGCCTCAATTTGCTACTTATAATCGGAGCAAAATGCCTATAAATAGGCATGGATCCCTCAANTTGGGCAACAAACTCATAGCAAATAACCTTGAAACTTGGTGAAATTTTGAGGTGAAGGAAGTCCCTTGATTAGACCAAATTTTTCATATGCCTTTTATTTCCGATGTGCAAAATTTCTTCATGTTCAACTTCAAGGAAAAAATTTGCCGCCTCAATTTGCTACTTATAATCGAAGCAAAATGCCTATAAATAGGCATGGATCCCTCAACTTTAAAGTACATCCCAAAAATTGTATTAGTTCAATTTTTATTCTTTTGTTGTGAGAAAGACAAGCTTATTTATTGGGGGTTTGAGAGGGTAAGTTGGAGTAGATTGTACGAAATGTTAAAGGCTCAGGTTTAGGATTTAAACATGAATGGTGAGACTTGTACTATTGTACCCATTTTCTTTCAACAATAAAGAAAGAAGACCGGATCACATCTTGTGGATGTAGGCAAATAAATTTTCTCAAACCACGTAAATTTTGGTGTTGTGAGTTGTATTTTACTTTTCTTTATTCTGTTAATTTATTTTCTTGATTTTCTTGTCGTGGTATTGACNAATTTTGGTGTTGTGAGTTGTATTTTACTTTTCTTTATTCTGTTAATTTATTTTCTTAATTTTCTTGTCGTTGTATTGATAACATTGCTGCAAGGTTTATTCCCAACAATTTCTACAGAAGGTTTTGTATAAATTAGGATGAACAAATGTCCTAAGTCACTGATAAAAGCATCACGAATCATAATCTTATTCAAAAATTAGATCTTGACCTGAAAATTGGTAACCTGNGTATTGACAACATTGCTGCAAGGTTTATTCCCAACAATTTCTACAGAAGGTTTTGTATAAATTAGGATGAACAAATGTCCTAAGTCACTGATAAAAGCATCACGAATCATAATCTTATTCAAAAATTAGATCTTGACCTGAAAATTGGTAACCTGATTCTTCTTTTCATTCAACTTATAATGAGTATTTAAATTCAATATATCTGACTATTAGAAAGTATAATTTTTTTATTTTCTTATACCTGTAACACATGCTTACATTTTGTTCTTAGAATTAAGATTTGCATATTACTGTAGTGTTATCAATATGAGGTATATCTAGGATTTGTGAAGTGATTTTATTTTATTTTTCCTCCCTCATCGATAACTTTTGTTGCATATGGTATAACCCCTTATTTACTTATCTTAATTCCATCTTCAATATACATCTGTTGAGGGTCATGTAAACGTCCAATGGAATGGAGACCTTTGAAAAATCTCTTCAATACTGTCGCTCTGACTCCCACCTCTTCGTATCCTCTCTCGTTCTATACATATCTCATGATTTTAATATTATGTATAAATTGCAGTTAAACTTTTAGTTTATCATGTCATACTTTTGACACATCTTCCAAAAATATAGCATATCCATTTTTAAGCAAATCTTAGCCCATAGTGAGGTATAATTGCATTCGCACAGTGCACACATTATTGTAGTGTTTTCTTCTCATTTTCCTTGATCAACATAATAGATCACTATGGAGGTTTCAAATATTCAATTTAAATTATCACAAAGGAGGTTTTAAATATTCAATCTATATGCACTTGTAACTCAAAATTCTTAAATTTCATGATTTTTTCAGGTCATACGGAGTGTACAAGTTGTTGCAGATCTAGAGATGTGACTATTTTTGTGACCACAATACTAAAATTCAAAAATCTATTTAGAAAAATCATAAAATAATGTTTGATAGATGATTCGAAAAAAATATTTTGATTGTACTGTTACTGGTAGTGTATTTGCTGGTCTCAACTATGCTCTTGAAGTTATGACACAAGGCATTGTTGTATTGATTACCAAGCTTGAGCCTCATGAGAGTAACATTGACCATGCTTAGGCTTAGGTGGGTGTTCGGTTGTGCCCTTCTGAATCGTTGTTGTCTTACCTGCAACATATAGTTATAGCAGGGTCTTCTCATGCAACAATTGATAATATTATGTATGGTCTTCATTGGTGCTATTTCATTATATGATTGTTGTGTCTTCAGTATTGAGCTTTTGGATGGAATAATGGTGTAGCTTATAAGATAATTTGTTGTCTTAAATATAATATTTTATGGAGCTAAAAGGGCATGAAAAATGACTTGATTGTAGCATTTCCTGCTTTATGTTCTGTATTGGTTTAGAAAGCGCACCATGCTCTAATTTAGTTTGTTGTTGCAATTAGCTCTACGTGCATTGGTGCCAAAAGGATATGCTAGTGTGGCTACACGTTTCTTTAGGTTTTACCATATTGGTGGGAAGCAAGATAGAATAGTTATAGTCATTCTAATTATTGTTGAACTTAGAATTTTAGATGTATACCTTGTGATTGTGTTTCTTCAATAATTGAGTGCACTTATTTTACTGACAATTGCATATTACAGACTTAATCATAAATCTCGAATTCATGTAAAGTCAAAAATGTAATTTTTTTATGATGTATGGTTCTTACATTCTACGCGTAATGTCAAATCTATTAGTGGAAAGTGAATATGTGTACATGTTCTCTTTCTTGACAAGTTGAGTGTTATCTCTAGCTAAACTGGTATGTGCAGAAGGACCGGATAAAATTAGAGAATTGGTTGGTCTGGGTGCTTCATTTGATCATGGGGAGAACAAAAACTTGCATTTAGCAAGGGTAAGGGGCCCTTCTCACAGGGAAATTGTGAGGGCACTGTTGGAGGCAGTAATAAAAGATCCCAATATTTTCAAGTTTGAATGTCATTTTGCAATAGACTTAATTGACAACAATGGTTCTTGTTCATATAGACTTTTGTGATTTCTTTGAGGAATATATTTTTTGACCTTTACCAAATAAATTTTGTATCTATAATTGTGCCTTTTTCTCCCCCTTTGAACTTGTCAATATTGCAAATCATTTCTAAGGTCGTTGTGCTTGCATCAAGTGGGATTGGACCTATCTATACAACAATTACAAACCCTTTGCTATGGTTTCAATTTTGTTTCCCAATGAACTATAACTTTATTTGATTGTTGGTGTCGTTTTTTTCTTTTTTCTTGCTTCAAAAGATGAAGGCCCCTTATGATATTGATTAACTTAGCATGTCTTATCTTGTGACATACAAAGCCAACCATCTCATAAACTACAAGTATTAAGCTTGTAACTATTGGAGACAATCACTTGCTCTGTTTGTTTTTTGTGCACTTCGAGACATCTTCAATTTTCTAGCTAAAGTTAATACAAATCAAAAACTGATATAATGTTACTTCTCAAAGTCACTACAAAAAAGCATATCAAGACTTTGACGAGTTCATAAGTAATTCAAACAATGATCATGGTATAAGTTAAGACAACATATTAATTTTTTTTTTTTTTTTTTTGGGGGGGGGGAACAAACATGACATTCACAATAAAAGTAAAATACAATCTATTGATTTCATATTCTTTGGCTGCTCAAGACAACCATTAAGATGAGAATTTTCATGACCCCACAACCAAACTACACTCCATAATGGAAACTAATTATTCAAGTTTTTGATACCTTGTAAATATTGCCAACCATAGTCTGATATTGAATTGTTTTCAAAATCACTTAGTCAAGTCAAAATTATACAAGCTTTGTAATAAAGATGGTATAGCTTCCTTTTGAGTNGCTCAAGACAACCATTAAGATGAGAATTTTCATGACCCCACAACCAAACTACACTCCATAATGGAAACTAATTATTCAAGTTTTTGATACCTTGTAAATATTGCCAACCATAGTCTGATATTGAATTGTTTTCAAAATCGCTTAGTCAAGTCAAAATTATACAAGCTTTGTAATAAAGATGGTATAGCTTCCTTTTGAGTTTTGAAAGGGTTAAATTTATGATTAGCTTCTTTTTCTATACCTTCATATGATTCCTTTTTTGTGCAAGCATTGCTTCGATGTTTCAATGTTTATTTTAAAATCCAATGCACCTAAAAGTTTTGATTGCAAACAACTAAGAAAAGTGTCCAACAATAGATACATTATGATCTGAACCACAATATGATTGTCTTTCATTTAGTGTACAAAATGATTCATGTGCAACACACGTGTGTATCAACTAGTATATCAAAAACACACACTAGTACCAAAAAACTATACACACACTAATACACAAAACATACATACATATACTAACACACCAAAGCACACACATACTAATATACCAAAATACACACACATATACTAACACATCAAAAAAAAAAACATAAACACATTTAATAGCACACTAAAATACACACACACATACTCTAGACCTAGACCCCGAACCCTAGACCTAACCTCAGACTCAACCCGAACCCTAGACCTCAGCCCCGAACCCAAATAAACACACATATACTGCTACACCAAAATATACACACAAATTATTACACCAAAATACACACGTATATTACTACACAAAAATACACACACATACACAAATACTAATGTTTATATGAGAACCCTTTTTATAGGACTCAAGGAAAACTTCTACTATCCAGCTACGGAGCCCTGATTAAAGCCCATGACCTGATTAAAGCCCATTTCCAGTGGACAGGTGGCCCGCTTTGAAACATGAGTTCGGAGCTTCCTCTTCTTCGCCACAGGTAAAAGAGAGAATCCAACATTTCGGGTCTGAATCTAACCCGTAATAATATTCCCTGTAAATGTCATCCGTTGAATAGCTTATCTTCAATTTGTATTTCACCGTTGGATCTAGGGTTACGATAACTTTGTCATCGTTTATATATCTTCTCTCTCCACTTTCCAAAACCCTTTTGCTTCAGCGGCTCAGCCACAGAGAGAGAAGAGCGCTGAATCGGGCCAATTGAAGATGGTGCAAAGGCTCACTTATCGCAAGCGTCACAGCTATGCCACCAAGTCCAACCAGCACCGGGTCGTCAAAACCCCTGGTACTTTCTTCATAGATATATGTGTGTGTGTGTGTGTGTGTGTGTGTGTGTTTGTTATAAGAATATGTATATCTATATTCGATCTGTGAGTATACTGATGAGTGTGTGTGTGTGTTTTGGGGGGCTGGAAAAATGATCAGGTGGAAAGCTAGTGTATCAGAGCACAAAGAAAAGAGCAAGTGGACCTAAGTGTCCTGTTACTGGCAAGAGAATCCAAGGGGTATGTATCCTGTGAATTTGTTTAAAAAAACTATTGTTCCAACTCAATATTTTGTGGGAGAGCAAATGACTCATTAGAATTAGATTAGCATGTACTCTGTGAACTTGAAATTGTTATTTGGCTTTATCATCTACATTGAGTAGTGTGCTTGTGGTGTATGCATTCATAATTACAATTATGGATCACCTCATTACAGTTACCAGTTTGTTATCATCTCTGTGATTGGATGTTTGAAAAGTAAAGGGCATTTCATTTTATTGTTGTTTCTGTTCAGCATTTCTGGTTTTCCAGGCAAACATTTTATTTGCTTCATTATGATTTATTAGTATATTTGCTCTCATCTGAATATCCGGTATCAAATTCTAGCGGGTAAGGTAGTTACCNAGGTAATAATTTAAAGAGATAAAATGTATTTTACCCATATGAATTCGCTAAAAATTATAGACACTATATGAATATAATTATGTTTATTATAAAATTGATTAATTATAAGTTAAAAAAAATTGAATTTGATACAATTTAAGGACTATATAAACACAACACACCAACACATTGGTGGTTTATCTGTTAGGACCACATTCAAAAATGCTACTCAAATCCCAAACTTCTCAGCTTCCTTCACTTCGACCCCTAAACTCTAGTCAAGACTCTTTTGTGTACAAACCACCCCCCAACTCTCTCTTCTTCTCCCTAATCTCACTTCTCTAATTATTGCCAGCACACCCAAAAAACTACCGCCACCTTCCTCCACCAGTTAGGTCCATTGATTGGTGTTGGACATGAAGTTCGCCGTTAAGCCAATTACGGCCCTGTATTTAACCGGCAGGACAGACCTCGACCAGATGCCGGACACACCAAACCGCGGGGCCCATCACCGGCGGACCCAGTCTGAGACCTTCTTCCGCTTCCCCGATGTCGACGACATANGGACAGACCTCGACCAGATGCCGGACACACCAAACCGCGGGGCCCATCACCGGCGGACCCAGTCTGAGACCTTCTTCCGCTTCCCCGATGTCGACGACATACTGTTAGAGGACGTGGTCGCCGACTTCAACCTCGACCTCTCCAAGACTGATACGCCCATGATGACAACCGCAGATCCAAGCAAGTCAGCAGACTCAGCCAACGGCCAAGATAAACCCAGCAAGCCAATGGGGCCGGCGGCACATTTGCGGAGTCTCTCTGTTGATGCTGACTTTTTTGAGAGTCTAGGGCTTAATTACTCAGGCGCCGCCGTGGACGGCGGAGACGGTGAGAAGAATCCGGCGACGGGGAGGAGAATAGGGGGTGTTGGCCATCATAGGCATAGCAATTCGATGGATGGGTCTATAACGGCGTCGTTTGAGATTGACAGTCCTAAGAAGGCTATGGGAGCCGAGAGACTTGCTGAGCTTGCTTTGATTGATCCCAAGAGAGCTAAAAGGTTTGAACTTAATTTGGCTTATTGGCTGACTATTTTTTAATACACTTTTCAATGTGTTCTTCACGATAATTTGTGTGGATTTGAACGTTACGGCGGTTAGGGCGAGTACTTTAAGTGATAACAGATATAATAAAAACTCAACGTTGAATAGTAAATTTAAATGTTTTGGACTTNACGTTACGGCGGTTAGGGCGAGTACTTTAAGTGATAACAGATATAATAAAAACTCAAGTGTTAATACGTTGAATAGTAAATTTAAATGTTTTGGACTTAGAATTTTAATAATTCTTTATCAAATTTTTGATCAAACCAATAAAAAAATTTCCGAGCTTCTTTGCCGGTTAAACTAAAAAGAAAAGAATGTTATAGCGTCATGGGTTTTAAAGGATTCTTTTGGAAAATTCTTAGGGTAAATTTCACCCACAAACGCTAAAATGGTTTATCTGTTAATGTTGTTAACATCGTCCATATAATGTGGTCTCAGTGTCATTTTAAATTGTGAGGGGGTGTCCATGTAATAAAACCAAATGCTAAGGGGTGTAGATGAAATTTACCCTAAGTATATTCATATCTTCACTTTTTTTTTTTGAACAGCATTCATAACTAGACTTGAATGAAGAGTTTTTGTATTCATTGGGGGAGAAAATTTGAATTATTTTGGGATTTGATTATTGGGTCTTCGGTTGGTTTCTGGAAAAAGGATAAGCAAAATGGAAGAAAGCAAAGATTTTGGGTCTCATGGTATTTTTTGTGACTTTTTTTTTTTCTTTTAATGGAAATACAGCATTGAAGATGACCTGAATGATCCTCTTGGCTTAGCTAAGTCAATGTTCCACTTGCAAGGGAAAAAAGTAAATAAAACATTATCAACCATTGATTTATTTAGCTTTCATGATTAAATAATTTTCATTTTATCTTCATGAATTTATTTCTCTTCTGATATTTCTAATTAAGTTTCACTATATTTTGGCTTAATCTCAATTTAGTTTCCTGAATATTTCTGGTTTGAACTGACAATATCTTCCTTTTTATCCATTTATTGTAGAGTTCTTGCAAATAGACAATCTGCAGCGCGATCAAAAGAACGAAAAATACGATACACCAGTGAACTGGAGAGGAAAGTGCAGACTCTTCAGACAGAAGCAACCACCCTGTCTGCCCAGCTCACATTATTGCAGGTATAAACTCCATTATTATCTTGGCATTTTGAGGACTGAATATGAATCGGATTAGAACCTAACCTTTTTATTAATGTAGAGTGAAACATGTTCCATAGTGATGATGTATGTTGAGGTATAGAAGACATGACTGTAGTCCTGAAGGACATTGTCTATATTCCTAAATCTCTACAGAAAAAAATTGCGTGCCTGCATGTGTTTGTGCCAATGAAAAATTGCTCTGAAGAGACGTTAAGTTTGTATGGGTCTTCATCTTGCAATAAAGTGTTTTAGTTGCACAAGATGAATCAGAACTGTAGTTGCTCTGAAGAGACATTTAGTTTGTATGGGTCTTCACTGGCACCATTTTTTCCATGTTCCATTGGTTCAATGGATTTGTAGGGTAATTATGTAGTTTGGATGCACAAGTACTCATTTGTTACTCTTAGAGCCTTTTATTTGTTTTTTGGCATGATTTCAGAAGTGCTTTCAGTTTAGTTGATGTATGTTCTGGACCATTACCTTGAATCCATAAAAAAATTAGCTTTCAAGAGAAACTGAACACCTGCTTTTAAGTTCTACTAACTAAGACATATAGGCAAATCCATTAAACACGATGATGTTAAGAAATTGTGAACCATATCACTCTATAGTGGGATGTCAACTCACTTATCATCCTGTTACGTAGTCCTCCCTTGTCTAAGTTTCAGTGAGCATGGTTTCCAGCATCTGCTAAAATCTACCTACTTATTCCACTTCTGGAGACGTTAGGTATATGTGTGAGCTAAAATTAAATCCATCTTTACATGTACTTAAAAGTTTGTCTATAAACTGTAAATCTTCACAAACAAGCTATCTATATGAAATTCATCTGGCTGTCAATATTCAGATCATATTATGACCTGTTTTGGTTAAACATACATAGTGTTTGATCATTTAGGTCACAGTGAGATTTTAGGGATATGCTCCAATGCTGTGTTTTAGATTTTATAGCCCCTTTTCCTAGCAGATACATTCCCTGCCAATGAATTTTCTTTGTTTTTCATTTAGACACTAAATGCATCAGCGATGCCAGCAGTTGAAGTACCTGGTGGCACAAGTTGACATGTGACACAGATTCTTGGTTGTAATGCTACTTCAGCTGTACTGGCTTTCTGCTATTTACTTCAAATTGCGCTCTTCCTGTGTGCAGACTTTATTCCTGTTTTATACAATCATTTTTGGTGTGTTTGCTGACATTTTTTTTAGAGTTTAAGTATTCAATTATGGATTATGCAAGTACGAGAGCTTGCAAACATGATTTACCCTATTTCCGGGCTTCATACTTCTTCTGGTGATATTGATCTGAGTTCACCCCCGAAATGCAATAGCATAGGAAACTAAAATACAATAAATGAGACTCATTGTGGTTGTTGCAATGCAGAGAGACACTACTGGTTTGACTGCTGAGAACAAGGAGCTCAAACTGCGGTTAGAGGCAATGGAACAACAAGCACATCTTCGAGATGGTATGTATCACTTCTGGATTGATGTCATATTTTGCTGTGGGGCACTACTCAGGTCAATGGATTGNTCAAACTGCGGTTAGAGGCAATGGAACAACAAGCACATCTTCGAGATGGTATGTATCGCTTCTGGATTGATGTCATATTTTGCTGTGGGGCACTACACAGGTCAATGGATTAGCATTGGATGTCTTCAATCGTGTCCTTCTGTTAGGGCACTGGTCTTTGTGTGCCACCAAGACCTTACCCTACTTGCACAGCCAGCAGAAAAAANAGCATTGGATGTCTTCAATCGTGTCCTTCTGTTAGGGCACTGGTCTTTGTGTGCCACCAAGACCTTACCCTACTTGCACAGCCAGCAGAAAAAAGGAAGTGACTTCATATTTTTTCCATTCGTTTTTCAGTTTGGCTCATATAAAGTAAAAGACATCGTATTTTCAAAAAACGAAACCAGTAAATTATTGTGTTCTCACGACTCATGTGAATAAAATAGGATTTACCTGGAACAATAGCTATCGAAAATGAAATGAAAACCTTGAGACCTCTCCTATTGAATGGTTTCCTATAATAGGTAATTTTTGTATATCTTCCTGTGGTTTGCAGCTCTGAATGAAACATTGAGGGAAGAAGTACAGCGGCTAAAGATAGCAGCTGGACAAATACCTGCTGTCAATGGAAACAACTTTAACAGTGCACAGCTGCCTCAATTTTCCTCCCACCAACAAACCTTTCATCATTTTGGAAACCCCCACACACAGCAACCCCAACAGCAACAGCAGCTTCACATACCTCGTTCGGACTCCAACAACCAGACTCTTCCTGGACAGCCCCAACCTAGCTTCTTGGACTTCAATCATTAGGGTTTGATAACATCCCGGGGATACAATGCAAGTAATTCAGTGTTCGGGAATTAGAAGGTAAAACATTGAAGGTGGGATGTTGTATATATAGATATGTATATTGGTTGCAGGTAAAGCTTGTGAAGTGTGTTGCTCAGATCAGTCCTTCATGTGACGTATACCAGCTATATTACTCTTAGGGCAGAAATGTTGCTGTGGAGCAGTTAGATCTTAAAGTTAACTCATGGGTCAATAGTAATGTCTATTGTAGCTTGTTCTCTATTTTCAAGTGCTGGAAAAAGAGTTTTCTTCTTGAGCTCGAATGGTCTTTTGCAGGAGCTTGATACAAGTAATTATTTCGTTTTCAATTAGAATGTCTGCCTTATCCTCTCTCTATGGGTTTATTTCGGGAAAAAAAAGGGATCATGAATTATGTCGAACATCATAGCTACTGTCAAATATGAGTTTTATTGTGAGTTCTTACATTTATTAGTACCTATTACATATTCAATAGTTGTGATTGATCAAATTTACATTTTAAGTTCATATTTTAAGTCCAAATAACTTTTTCCTCATAAGAATATCGTTTTTTTCTCTCTTTTTGTATGGAAAGATTTGAGATTTAAAAATAGGATAATGGTATTTTTTTTTTATGATATTCTGAAAATGATTTGTACTATGGACCTTGAAGGATAAATGTAATTACCCAAAAAA